TGACACAACTGTTGCCACAAATATAACGATCCCATCGTTTAACGTGTATTGCATTGCAATCGTTTCCAAAGAGTCCTATAAATGCCAACTTCTGGTCACAAGTATTAAATTGTTTCCAATTGATCCCTAAACTATTTGCAATTATCCAAACACTTACAAACGATTCAAACTTTCATGTATACAATGTATTTATAATCTTCTTTAGGAGTAGATATTAATCGATTGGTTTCCCTATCCATTGGTTTAATGTTATTTATTTTTGGTCCGCATTTAAGTCGGTATGAAATGACTATTGATTTAATATATTTAACACTTTAAGTAACAATTAAATTGCTATATTTTAGGAGTATTTTATTTTACTACACATCATGTATAGCACTGGGAGTTTTTGCATCATTTTTAGTGATTTTTGTAATAATGGGCCGCTATTTCCCCCGGGTATGAATCAGCCATAACTGATCCGCTATTTGTTATTAACTGTTTTTGTCTGTAATTTACATTACAGAAAATCTCTGGTATAATAATAATGTTGGGCACCTCTGCTCTGATGTTCGCCTTTAGAATATTCTGGCAATCATTACATCACTTCCTCATTGATTGACACAACTGTTGCCACAAATATAACGATCCCATCGTTTAACGTGTATTGCATTGCAATCGTTTCCAAAGAGTCCTATAAATGCCAACTTCTGGTCACAAGTATTAAATTGTTTCCAATTGATCCCAAAACTATTTTCAATTATCCAAACACTTACAAACCCTTTGAAGGCATTATTAAAACTTTCATGTATTCAATGTATTTATAATCTTCTTTAGGGGTAGATATTAATCGATTGGTTTCCCTAACCATTGGTTTAATGTTATTTATTTTTGGTCCGCATTTAAGTCGGTATGAAATGACTATTGATTTAATATATTAAACTCTTTAAATAACAATTAAATTGCTATATTTTTAGGAGTATTTTATTTTACTACACATCGTGTATAGCACTGGGAGTTTTTGCATCATTTTTAGTGATTTTTGTAATAATGGGCCGCTATTTCCCCCGGGTATGAATCAGCCATAACTGATCCGCTATTTATTATTAACTGTTTTTGTCTGTAATTTACATTACAGAAAATCTCTGGTATAATAATAATGTTGGGCACCTCTGCTCTGATGTTCGCCTTTAGAATATTCTGGCAATCATTACATCACTTCCTCATTGATCACAGCTTTTATGTAATGATTTATACATTTTTAATGGCGTTCATAAGCTTTGGTGCGGCCTATCGTTTCGGACCCGTCACTAATCATAAGACGTTAAATCTTATGCAATGGTTATTACAGGTAATGATTGTATTTGTATTCAGTTTCACATCTCATTTACTGTTATTCATTTGCAGTCAATTGGTTTGCTATTAATGACAATTAGTAGTGAATTATACGAATATTCTTTGCTTTTCATTGTAATAGTCATAGCCTTAAAAGTGCTTCCAACGAATCAATTGTTTTCCTATAAAAGGTATATTTCAATGACAATAAGTAATATATTATAAACTAAATGAAAATATTGCTAATTATGTTTAGAACTGAGAAATTAAAGCTCCGATTATTGTCGGAACAGGAGTTTGAACTGCAAAGTGATGTCCAAACAAGAGAAGCGTTACAACAACTGAAAAAGTTTTGCATCAGTTCTGAGTGCAACGCATGGAATACCATATGTAAACTCAAAGACCCCATCAGGTCTCACAACACATCAAACATTATCACTATTACATCAGTCAATCAAATTAACACTATTTCGCAATCAATAGATTCGCGCGTTTTATTGACGGCGAGAATCATATATCGGACGATGAGATCATAGCCTACGAGAGCTCACAAATGAATAATTCATTGATTGCTTTGAATCACAATAACAATGAAGACGAAAGTGACGACGAATATCAAGAGTTGCAGTAAAATTCATATTCATTTTAATAATCATTTATTTAAATAACAAAACAAGTAATTCAAAGACCTTTTGAATTTCTAATGAATAATGAAATTATCCTTTTGTTATAGTATTTATGAAATTCTCATATAAAACGATATATTCATCACAAATATTAACAAAAAATCTCATTTTCCTTAATATTTTGTATTATATATATATATTTGAGAAATAATTGCGAATATTGTGTTAAAATATAAGGGATATTATCAGAGCTGCCAAACGATCCGATTATTAGTTAATATTTAAAAAAGTTGTTAATTTAATAGAAAATTAGTTATTTTTAATAAAAATTTTAAGTGAAACTCAAATGAAGTCCTATTATTTCGTAGAACTATTGCCGGCAAAAGCACTGAAAACATTGATTCAATTGATGACAAATTCGGAAAATAGGTTCAAATATGAACACAATTCACATATTTGTGGTTAAAAACTTCAAAAGCATTTTTATATCTACAATAATACGAGTGTTTTTTTTTGTTAATTATAATATTTTGAACATTTGGTTGAATTTAAAAAATGACATTTTCTCTAATTTTAATAAATATTACGCCAAATAGTTATACGTGTCTTTAGCGCCGTCAGCCCTTTCCAGGTATTCCTTTTCGATCAGAATATCAATGCATTTCTGGACAACATATCAAACGAGTTAATCATTTAGTGGACATAATTATAGGCAATGAGACAATACCTTAATGACAGGAACGCTGGGCTTAAACCTCGAGGAGAGCTGATTGAAGACCTCGACCAACAACTGCTGGTGTTTTAACTTCTTTCGCATTTTCATAATCCGAACGATCGCTGCCTTTATTTCACAACAAAAAACAATGCATTAAAAAATTGTAAATAAATGGAAACAAATGATGGATTCACTTGAATGACAAGCTTTCTGTCCTCTTCGATGTGTTTGTGAGTCTTTTCCTGTTCTAACTTCAGCTCTGCTTTCATCGGAACGTTTATATTAACTCTCAGTTTCTTGTTTTTGTAGCCGACAAACAGCGAAATGACTGTCTGTGGGGACAGATTGTCGGCGTCGTCGTCGGCCACGTCGTTGTCTTCGCAGACCAGGAGTTTGACCTTCAGAAGGATTTGGATCACCTGAACCAACATATCCATCTTGATTTGCGTGCTTTCAAACAGTTGCTGAACAGTGAATTGATCCGAATTGTTATACTGAAGCAAAACTGCCATTTGAAATGTGGACGCCTGACGCAAACAACAAAACCATTATTAGATTAAAAGGACTCATTAGTTCATATCGTACTTGAAGTGTGTATTTGTTTTTGAAGCAATTGGTTGTGATCTCTCCCTTAGACATGGAGTAAAGCCAATGTAGTTTTCGGCCGCTGTGTTGTCCGCTGTAGAACGTGGTGAAGCGTTGGACACTTCGCTCCAACTGTTAACCAAACAAATCAATTCAATTATTACTATTCAAAACACACAGCAGTTATCGATAGTACCTCTTGTGGTAACGCGAAAGTAAAGGACTGTTGGAAAGGCCACGAACCAGAGCTCAACACTTGAATACTAAAGTCCACTATAAATATAGAAATAAATGATTGTTAGAAATGAGAGGATTGACGAGAAAGTGGATAAAAGTGCTAACAGTCGAGGGGTTCGTTAGAGTTGATGAGATGAGTCTTAAACTGTTCGTTGAGATCTTTACTAACGCCGATGTCCTGAAACATTCGCTGCAATTTAGACGTGTATTCAAAACCACACGCTTGCTATTGGTTTACGGTTCAAATCATACAGTATTAGTGTTTATATTCACAAATCAAAGACATTCAACAATACCTTAAGCTTTGAGATCATGGATGCCTCGGCGTCATCACTGGCAGACATGTGTTGAACTAAACGTTTGGCTAACATTTTACTATAAAACTTCTGAAACACATCTTTATCTTCAATGTATTTGAAAGCAATCATCTGTTGAACGAAATATTAAGAAATTGGAAATTGTCTCATAAATTGTATTCAATGGATATCTTACCACTTGATTGAGGGTCTCTTCCAATTCAGTTTCCTCTGGAATTTTGGAAGTTTTCTTCAGAAGTAAATCACAGTATTTTGCGAGAAGTTCTGGCGATTTGCTCGAAGAGTTGGCCAAACGAGTGATTGAGTTATTATTTATAAACTTTCCGCACGCCTTAACACATAACATATCGATTAATTAACAAACAGTAAAATGAGTAGTGAAAGTGCAAACCTTGTCGAGTGCGGCCACAAAGCCGGCGTCATTGTTGAACGCGTCCACAACTAAAGCGTTGTATTTCTTGTGAACCTCGAGAGTAGTGGTCACATAGATC